CTGTTTACTTCACTTCCTGTTTCAACGCTATTTGGTTTCGGTTTCATTGGTTTCTGAATTATATATATATATATATATATACACACACATATATATGTATGTATGTATATATGTATTTATATTATATAGATTTATAATACTTACATTATTTACAAACATGGCTGTCTTGCAGAGTAGTAGTACATACTAGCTATGCTATTGACCTTGATATTGAATTCCACATTCTGACAGTGTGATAGAATCAAATGACTCGTAACCTTTGCTGAGCGTTCTTCTCATCACTCACACCATGCTTCTTTCCTTCCTCTTTCCTCCAATCTCTCCTCCTCCCTCTATCTATCCATTCCTCATTATCTAGTCCTGAAGTGCATTATTGTCTATCGGTTCTTATTCCTCTGCAGTGCATGTGCATGCATGAGAGAGAAATATGTAGGTCACAAAAACATACCCATCATGCAGTAATGGGGAGGGGAGCGGGGAAGGTCAGCACTGCGGCATAGAGTAACTCTAACTCTCCTCTCCGCTGCGGATAAATGTATTAGTATGCATGGCCATCCTCGATCACAAAACATGACTCAGTGAGAGAGGGAGAGAGAGAGAGAGAGAGTGACACAGACCACCGAAAGGAAACGCTGGCCTATATAAAAAATGCAAAGTGAACAATACAGCCGGGAGGAAATGGGAAAAATTGGGTCACTTACTACAGGGTAGAGAAGCTTGGATATGATTCATGCAACAATGCAGCACCTTTAAAACGGCAAGTCTTTTTTGGTTCAAGGCCACGAGAAAGGTCATTTTTTATTTTATTTTCTGCAGACTTATAATACAGCACACAAGTTATATGGGCGACTTCCAAAATTTCTACTTTTCTACTCCACGGAATAGGTAACAGCATATGGGTTTGGAACGGCATAAGGACGAGTCAGTGTTTTGGGCGATCTTTTCCTTTAAATAGCTTGAAGACCTGCCAAAACACCATTTGATGTTGACTAGGGAGATGGCATGATCTAAAATTAGTTATTAATGCCGCTTGAGTAGTTAGCTAGAACACTGAAGTTGTTTTGTTTCTTTATTTCATGCTCTAGGCCAATGATTCTGGCATGAGATATGAGTGGACGGAGAATGCGATTTACAGAACTGCCCCATATTTGAAGTATTCTTTTATAATCAGTAATGTTATATAATGTATGATATTACGAAATGAGATCCAATACAATCAGGGATTACAATACCACGTGGTAAATACCACGAACATGGTATAAAACATGATAATCATTCCTTACCATCTGATATAATTTTACCAAGGGAACAGTGCAATACGTTTTCGTTTCTACAATGTCTTGCTCTCTTTCTCTGAGCAGACAAACTGTGCTTCAACACGTTCTTCCACAATGAAGACATGCAGGAGATCACTAAACATTTTGTGGTGTGCCACGTAGATGCCCCAGGCCAGCACATTGGTGCCCCCCAGATGCCACAAGGGTATGATTAACGCACACATGAGTATATTCACATCAGTATTTGCCATTTTACATGATATGTAAGCAATCGGCTGTACCCTGCTGAAAAAAAGGTTATAATGGATTGTATTTTTAATGGAAACTGTAATGGTCCCTGTGGGTCACTACTGGTAATTTGTTTCCTTCTATTGGTGGCATGTTAAAACCACTAGCCTAAATCCTAATGGCCCAAATATGGCCCAAAACACATTGTTTTTAGTTGTTGGTTTGTAATGTTTGTAATGGTATTTGTAGTCGAAACCTAGAACTTCTGCATTGTTTCTATTGTTTTTTTCCCCAGCAGGGTATGTACAGTCAGTCAGTCTTTATAGCACAATAATATAGCTACAATTGTATTGTAATGTAGCCTAATGTACTGCACTTATTACATGGCTATTCACCAAATAAATTAATACGTGGGTATGAAATATTGATTTGAGTTGGGATTATATTGTAATCTTACCTGTATATTATTTTAAAGCTTCCGCTAAGAAGAAATAGTCCATTTCAATGTACAAAACGAGCGCTGCGTCTATATTACAGTAAAGTTAATACTGAAGTCCTTCACTACAGTCGATTACTGAAACACAAGATGGCGCCAGTTGCGTTTGGATGAAAGAAAAGCGGGTGAGTCTGATGAAAGCGGGTGAGTCTGATGAAAGTAGCACTGGTTTCAGTTATGGATGAGCGGACTGATATAAACATTTCTGTGCACTACAAGATGGCAAACATCTAAACGTTGAACGCCGCGATTGACCAATCAGAATCAAATATTGCGGAGCGACATGTAAAAACTCGAGATATCATTTATAATATATTTTCTGATCTTGTTGTTCCTAGATATCAGTATCCTACCATGGATCAGCTAGCTGGGATGCTTCCTAGTGTGGTGCAACACTTTGGGTGAGTGTGGTCAGATTATACTCAAAATTATGAGCTGTAATAATAATGTAGTAATGATAATCAATTTCTTTCCTAGCTTCAAGAGCATCGTTGGAATTGGAGTGGGGGCTGGTGCCTTCATCCTCGCCAAATTTGCGGTTAGTAAATCTCAGCTTTTTACTGTATCTTGGTCAAGGTTTAATTTTTTTTTTTTTAATTATTAATATTATTTTTTAGTTTGCATTCAATACAATTCAGTTGTGCTCTCCACTTGTAGCTGATTTTCCCTGGTCTTGTGGAGGGTCTGGTTCTACTCAACATTGATCCCAATGGGAAGGGATGGATCGACTGGGCCGCCACAAAATTGTCAGGACTCACCAGTACTTTACCAGACACTGTCCTGGCCCATCTCTTCAGCCAGGTACAATATTAATCTAGGCTACATTTCTTATGTTTCACTGTGGATACATTATACAGTCACCTTTAAAAATAAATTTCAAGGCTTAAAATTGATTGAAATTTATGTATTCAGTTCAGGGGCATTTAATGTAAAACATATTTATTTAGCTTCTTTTTTATTTTTAAAATAATAATAAATGCATATCAAAGATTAAATTTTTAAAATGTTCAATTGAAATTTAATTCTCAAGCTAAATATTTAGCTAACATAACATTCACTGCATTACAGGAAGAGCTTATGAGCAACACAGAAGTGGTTCAGACTTACCGTCAACAGATCAACAATACCATCAACCAGTTCAACCTACAGCTTTTCTGGAACATGTACAACAGGTAACCGCCCACGATCTCATTAATATATAAAGAGTCATGCATAATGCATGAATCGAATAAAAGTGCATATTCTGTAAAAAAAAAAAAAAAAAAAAAACTTGCTTTAAAATCAGGATTTCCATTTTTTCTACAGCCGCAGGGATTTGGAAATGAACCGCAGTGGCTCTGTGCTAAATGCTAAGACCCTGAGGTGAGAACTAAGTTAATTAGAATCTGAATAGTCTCATTTACATATGACTGTGTAATAAGACTGAATTCTGAAATCTCATTCTTGCAGGTGCCCGGTCATGCTGGTCGTTGGTGACAATGCTCCGGCCGAGGAAGGCGTGGTGAGTCTTTCATAAGAGACTTATTTGATCATGTTTTTCCCCATCCTCCTCATTTTTATCTCTCATGTTTTCTTCCTCTTACCAAACTTTTCTCTTCTTTCTGTCATAAACTTATCTTTCTATGTAATATATCCCAAACTTGGATGTTTTTTGTCATTCAGAGACAGGTCAATCTGCTCTGCATTTCTTCCTCTTTCTTCCTTCCTCTTTCTCCGGTTGTCTCACGGGAGCAGATGGCACTGGTCCCGGGGTTGATCTCCCAGGCTTTGCCAGCTTGTGTGCGCTGGATATTTTTAACTCCGCACCATGGCCCTTTAATCTAACATATGAAAGCTGGGTCAGTGCCCCATCACATCTAATCAGACACACAGGGCGAGAGATAAGGAAAAAGAGGGACATGACGAAGGAGAGTAAGAGATAGAAAAGAGCGAGAGGTAAACCAAAAGAGGATGAGAGATGAGACG